ATTAAGAAGAAGTGCAGTGCACAAGAACCAGTACTCTGCACTTCCTAATTTTTGAGTTATTGCCCTTTCATACTTTAATTTTGTCCGGGCCATTTCTCCTAATGTATAAAGGCCATGGACTTGAAACTTCATAGGATGATAGGTCTAATTAAGAAGAAGTGCAGTGCACAAGAATCGGTACTCTGCATTTCTTATTTTTTGAGTTATTGCCCTTTGTTTATTTTCATACTTTAATTTTGTCCGGGCCATTTCTCCTTAAGTATAAAAGCTATGGACTTGAAACTTCATAGGATGATAGATCTCATTAAGAAGAAGTGCAGTGCACAAGAATCGGTACTCTGCATTTCTTAATTTTTGAGTAATGGCCCTTTGATAATTTTCATACTTAATTTTTGTCCAGGCCATTTCTCCGAAAGTATAAAAGTTATGGACTTGAAACTTCATAGGATGATAGATCTCATTAAGAAAAAGTGCAGTGCATAAGAACTGATACTCTGCATTTCTTATTTTTTGAGTTATTGCCCTTTGTTGATTTTCTTACTTTATTTTTGTCCTGGTCATTTCTCCTCAAGTATGAAAGCTATGGACTTGAAACATCATAGAATGATAGATCTTATTGATAAGAAGTGCAGTGCACAGAAACTGCTGCTCTGCACTTATTATTTTTTTAGTTATTGCCCTTTGTTATTTTTCATTTTTCATTTTTGTCCTGGCCATTTCTCCTAAACTACATTGTTCACAAGGCGACACATCCGACTAGCGGAGTTCTAGTTATTTCAACTTAAGCTTTTCATACATCAGACCACCAAATTTCTTGGAATTTTAAAGTTATATACCTAAACTGACAAAATTCAGTAATTTTGTTCAAGCCAAAATTTGTGTAGCTTTTGCAATGGGTTTCAAAAGTGCATTCTGTTTTTCCATACCAAAATCATAAGATCAAGTACCCAGGTTTTAAAACTTCTCTGAGTTTGGCTCCAATCTCGGGATTTTTAATTTTACATTATACATATTGTGCTTTTGTGCTTCTTTGTGACCAATCAAATACTTGAGGTCTGAGTTTGAACTTCGAACAATTCTTTATAACATTGGACATTGGTATCCGAACATTTTATTCTGTTCAATCCAAACTGAAAGTAAAATGGCGCAGCAGATTGTTTTAAAATTGAGTATTTTCAGATTTTCAGGATTTAGCTCAATACAGGATTGGAGCAGTACCTCTAGACGCTTGCAGAAATCATGATCACAAAATAGACAAATATCGTTTTTTTCGCCGAATTTTACATTTTTCCTTGATTATCGTACTTGATTCGGTGTGAAAAGATGAATTAGACCTGTTAAAGTTCATTCCGTTGGGTAAAAAGACAAGATTTTAGCATTTTATCATTCAAGCGCCTTGTCCGGTATATACCGGAATACGGTATTTAGTGTGGTGCTCCAATCCTTTTTTTAGTCACAGCCGTATTTTCATTGGTCACATGAAAACCTCGGACCAATGAAAATACTCCATATAAAAGCAAAGGGAAACAAATCTGAGCTGTGCCATTTTACTGAGAATTTGACATATAGGAAAAAGGTGCGTTTTAGTTTCATATGATGCTTTGATTGAACAATTATAACAAATAATAATTTAATTTTATCATATTTAAATACGCAATACAAAGAAATATTCATTCACCAAGAATTTAGTGTGTTTCACTCGTGAGAGTTATACCGAAACAGTGCAATCAGAACTCTTCCGAGTTTCTTTTGTTGACTGTTTTGGCTTGAATATTACTTGCTACGTATAATCAGCGAAAGTGTCACTGTTGTTTCCTTAAAAAGTATTTATTTATCTAAGATTTGACACCAGGATTGTTAAGATCGGTGAAAAATTGATGATAATTGAGATGCTACTGATATTTCTATGCAAAATGAAAGTAGAGTCCTTATAATTTTTTAGAGTCATAATTTTTTGTTTTCATAAAATTTATTTTTGTCAATACTTATGATGTTTGGATGATGTTTAAGGGTTTTGGGTTGTATAGGGGGAACGGGGGTATAGTGTAAGTCATGGCCACGCGACGTTCACCTGTGATACAAACATGGCTGCTTAAACCAGGAAGTAAGTTATATTAATATCCTGCATTTACAAGTTAAGTTAAATACCTAGCAATTATAAAGTCCTGAATATAAACTTGTTATCCACCATGATATAAACATATTATACAAGAAATAAAAATACAAATAAAGCTTTAAAGTTAGGTTATATCTGTCTCTATTAAAGTTACTATGGACCAGGGTATTACATTATATCCTACACGCATGGAGGAATTTTAATGAAACTTCATAGAAGTAAATTCATGTTGGGGTTTTAAAAAATGTCATTTTAGCGTGGTTACTGCTCTTTTTAGTGGTAACCAACTACGATTTTTGGGCAAGCCCTAACCCAAGTAATATGTCCAGGAGATTTCCGCGTTGCTTGGTCATTTTTTGCACCCTCGATTTGTTCTTTGTCTATATACATTTTTCAAAAAAACATCAATTTTACGAGCCTACCGTTCAGAAGCCATTGGACCAATTCCAATGCAAATTCGATTTTGTACAACTTGAGAGGGTCTTCTTTGCACATGAAAAGGCCTTAAGCCATAACCCAAGTTATATGTCCAGGAGATTTCCGCGTGGCTTGGTCATTTTTGGCACCCTCGATTTGTTCTTTCTCTATATAAATTTTTGAAATAAACATCAATTTTATGAGCCTACCGTTCCAAAGCGATTTAATTAATTTCAATGCAAATTCGATTTTGTACAACTTGAGAGGGTCTTCTTTGCACATGAAAAGGCCTTAAGCCCTAACTTAAGTAATATTTTCAGGAGATTTCCGCGTGGCCTGGTCATTTTTGGTCATAGTAGGGCATTCCTTAGGGATTCTGTTTTTATTTCTCTGTTTAATCAGATTTATTAAAGTCAGATAAACACAAACTGAAAACTAAAACATTGTTCATTAACATGCATCATTGCAAATATGCAAATAAATAAATTTCGGCATTTTTTCAACGATTACTTCAATGATTTACAAATCGTACGGGGTTGCAATGTGGCAACCTGTTCTTGATCACATCCCTGTAAAGCCAAAATTTGCCTTTGTTTGTTAAAAGATATGCTGTTTGATATAATTAGAATCTTTGCACTGTCAATTTATGTGAAGTTTCTTATGCATTGCTACAATATTTTTGTGTTAACAAGGAACGATCTTTTGTCGTGTGCACATTGCGCATGCGCAAGAATAAACTTCATCTGGTTGAATTAGGATTGCAACGGCACGCGTTCTTAAACCACGGGGTGGAACCCCCTATGGATCTCAAACTTGAGCATCGGTAAAAAAATCAAAAAAAATCTGTGATTGACCTGTTTTCTCCTTCACATTTCGTGTTATGGCGCACATCTGAATCAGCGAAAATTGACACATTTTTTTACCGATGCTCAATTTTAGACTCATATATGTGCCATGGTTCCAACCCCGTGTAAACTGTCTGTAAAACCACAAAGAAACAAAGCAATGCTCGAAAACAACTTGAATAGAAATTTATCAATATATTTCATACAAAGAAAGATACAGGAAGACGATGACAAAGATTTTCAGTAATATTCAATATATTATACCTTTCTGCTTCACTGAAAATTTAAAAAAAGAATCTGCTTTGGATGGATATAAATAGGATGAATGAATTCTATCATAAAGAATCATAAATGTACGTGATTAACAGCAGAAAAGAAAGCTGCTTGACAGGATGACAAAGAAGATGCGACCGAGATGCACTAGTACGCAACTCTACGCTACTTGATCGAGCAAGTCGAGCATGTGGGCGCAAAAAAAAAACGCAAACAATCGCAAAATAAGTTATGAATTACCTTAAATAGACATCGTAATTAAAGATCAAATTTAAAATAGGAAAACTGAGTAATCACCATTTTTTTTATATAAGCACAGGATATTTTTCTATCGGGGATACATTTGCATTTGACCAATATAAGAAGTTATTTTTAGCTTGATAAACTTTTCACCTAATGTCACGAATATGTAACATACATGGCTTTTCGTCCATAAACATCCTTGTAAACTTTCAGGAAAAAGTGACAATCAGACGATTTCTTCTTCCTTAATGAATCTCTCATGCGCAACACTTTCAAAGCTGTCCCCTGACTTAAACTCATAAATACGTTTTATAATGCCTATGTACATGTACAAAATTGTAGATATTGTTTAGCAATATTGATGTGTGAATATTTAATGACATTTTCTCGGTAATTATCGGATTCCGAAGTAAGTCATACGAATTTCAACGTATTGTACAACTGTATATGTATAAATAAGATTTATCAGCCTAACAATTTACTTAAATCCTAGCCTCGGTGACAAGATGTAATAAGACTGTCACCTAGTTTCAAAGTCAGACTCAAGTGAAACCTTTTTATGTTTTCGTGAATGATATTTTAGAATTATATTGCAAAATTTGACCACTATGATTTATGCATGTGAGTTACTCATTGTGCGACTTTACATATTGTAATTAATGAAATGATAAAATATGTATTTTATCAAAATGATGAAATTGAAAAACAATGCTAGAAATGAAACACACAATTTATCAGCTCGTGTTTAAGATTCAAACTTGCAACTACGTGGTTACCACCATTCGGTCGCTACTACCACTAAAGTATCGAGATCTATAGTACGGAAACTAACGAACAGCTTGCCGAAAACTCACGAGTCTCAGGTGAATATTGCCAATCGCTTTACAAAATATATCTCAAAGATCACCCAAATACATTGAATTACATCTTTCTGTTGATATCCTGTACAATTATTCTAAAGGTTTCAATAAGAAAACCTCTAAAAGGTATTTAAATACTATAGATGTAGGGCCTATAGATAAATAAAATTTAATAATAGCTTGAAACCTGAAACGTGTTTATTTTGCTAGTACGGTGCACATGAAATAGTGTATCGATGTCCTTATCCGAAGCTTGACGGGACAATCAATACCTGTAACAACGTATTTTGTTAAATAACATTACCTAATTGTTGAATGAAATGCGAAATGTGTTATATAGGCTGAGCTGTAGTTAGAAACTTCGTGTTTGTTGACAACGGTAGGTGACTATTTTTTTCTCTTTAAATTCAAATTTGATATATAATTTATTATTCTATCATGACGATACACTATTTCTGTGCTAAATTAAAAGTTTAACGAGCTTTCCTCTATAGGTTATATTTGGAGGGTAAAAATAGAGTCAAATCCAATTAAAAGAGCAATTTCTATTATACATGTTGGTATTTCTTATTGACTACCGATATATATTTGACTGTGGAAATCAAATAAACAAATGGAAATAATGTCGCAGCGAAAACTATTAACCATATATTGATTTTATAATGATTAAAAGAAGACAACATAGATAATGTTTAAACTATTTCAATATTGATTTTCATGAGCTAGAGATAGCTATAGTCTATTTATGGTGGCTGATTTGTGCCATTCATGATTTCGCTCCGCGACCCTGTCGAGAAAGTTAAAATGGCGGGGACGCGGACAGAAAAACAGATAATTAGCGGGATCGCTAAGTTTTTCGCCCCGCGCCCCTTCTAGTTAACGTGTTTTCGCTCCTCGCCCCGCCGTTTTATTTCTTAAATCTTTTCTTAGAATTTCTTAAATCTTGTCCAGCGCCTTCGCGGGTCGACGTTTTATTTATTAAATTGTCCCGCTAATTACAGGGCTGGGAATCAAAACTGCGTCGTATCCTACAAAATGTAAACAAACGCCGCCATCTTGGAGCGAAAAATGTATGTTTTTGTTTATAACTGTTTTTGTTGAAAATGTCTGAAAACAAGATATATGTATTAACACGCTACACTATTTTCCGCTTCGTTCGGTATATGTTGCTTGCACAACTATTTTGTAAAACAAAAGGTATAGCGAACTTGCAACTCGAAGCGGGGCAGAATTTTTATGAAAATGTGTGGATACGACGCAGTTCATATTGCTTTATCCATCGTTTTTTCCTTCAAATCAATTATATACTCGTTTTCAGAGTTCACCATAAACTTCAAAACATAATTTTGCATCATTTACTAAACTTTCATTTAAAAGAGATGTTTATTTTCCAAGAAAATAATGATTTTTACGAAATGATACGACGAAGTTGAATATAAAATATGATACGACGCAGTTGTATTTTCATTGCAGGCTGAATATTGGTTAAACTATTTAAATTATGTGCTAGGTATGCTAATAACGTCCAACAACATTTCTTGTTTACAACTTAAGTCAAAAGCAGAGGTCACTCATTGGTTTCATAAAAATGGAAATGTAATACAATTCTATTAAGGCTGAATTTTTCGGTCGCATTTTAGTACTAATCATAAGCATCCACAAATTCCGAAAAGCTGTATCAAATGCAATATACATTGAAACACGTGATCGCACACCCATATGACAACGTGTTCTAGTGTTGCCTTGGCATGCTTATAAACTTGTTCCCGTGAGTTCGAAATGGGAGTGATTACTATTTTTGATACAAAATTAAATATTCCAGTGTAACCTCTCCTGGACCCTGTATTAATCAGGAATGACAAAAAACAAAAGAAAAAGAATTACAAATTTTGAAAAGGTCTCTCGCTATCGGGAATGCGCAAATTGCATGCCTACCTTTGTTACTTGTAATTAGCAATAATTTCCGTCCATTCCGTTATTACTTATGTCTTTTACGTGCCTATTTTATTGTATTCATTTTCTTAATAATCGATGAGAACAGATGAGCTTTATTATTTGAAACTATTATTTTAAAATTATATTATAAATGGTTAAGCTACATTTTTTTTGCAAGTAGGTTATGCGTTCCGTTTAGTCATTTTATGTTCAGCGCCGCGGAACTTTACCCCTGATTTTGTCGTATTGCGTTTCTTTATCGCCGATGAGGAAAGGTCTACGGAATGTATGTTCTATATTTGCACTTATAATTATCATTCTTCTCCATCAAAAAACTTTAAATTTTCAAAATCGAGTTACATATGATACAACTACAAATTATTTTGTAAAAAAGGTGTCCGTTTTGCAAAGGTATTTTACGCTATGCACCGATAAATTTGATACAGATATAGGCAGACATGATCTTTCAACAGTATTGAAGAATTATTAAGTTTTCACAATATTGAACAGAAAATTTAGGTCAGATTACCGTATCGAATTTTCAACAGAAAAGAGACATGACATCTTAACATACCTTCATACTAAAGTGTGATTTTTATTTGATAATGAATTGCCTGAAAACTTAAGCAAGAGTTTTCAGAAAATGACTTCACAAAGGATTACCCCCTGTTTACATTGAAAATTTCTCTGCCAGTCATACCGAAATAAGAAATTTAAATTTTATTCTCTTTATAATTAATTTATATATTTATAATCTTAAAACTTCACGCCAGAAGTTAATAAAAAAGCTGCTTATTTGTACAGCTGACGTTAACACATTTTGTTGAAAAAACAAATCAGACAGATGTGTCCGACCGAGGCCGAGCTGTTTATGTTTACTGAATTCAAATCACTTGAACTGAACTGCTATGAATTCGAAACCCACCAGGGACTTTTTATTCTTTCGTGTGGAAAACCTATCAAGCTAGTTTCAAAATGTTGATGGTTCTCTGCAGGTACAACATTTTGCCTGAAATGATGCACAAAGGCGCACCTGAGGTCCTCGCCTCTAGTAAAGCTAATGTGTAGAGTGAAAGTTTGAAAAGAAACCACAAAAAAAGCAGTCATTACCCAGAACATGCAGAACCACAGTTAACTTAGAGCGTAGCTAGCCAAAATGAATTAAAGTAAATAGATTTCTACAGTTTTTTTTGCGAAAGAAATTAGGGATAGTATTGAACATACAGGAAAATACTACAGATATTATGATCAATAAGGTAACATGTTCATGTTTAACTGAAAAGTAGCTTCCGCAATGTAAACTTTCAAGTTAAATGTCATATTTGACATGACACATTGTATTCTAAATAATCAAAAGCAACAGAACATTGCTATACACCGCAAATGATCTGGGGTTTTTATCTAGCGCAAGTTATTATTCCATAAAATAGAAATATATTGTCAAAATTATCCCTGTTGAAAGACTGCCAAAAATACAACTGCGTCGTATCATATTTTATTTTCAACTGCGTCGTATCATTTCGTAAAAATCACTATTTTCTTGGAAAATAAACATCTCTTTTTAATGTAATTTTAGTAAATAAAGCAAAATTATATTTCGAAGTTTATGGTGAACTCTGAAACAAATATATAATTGATTTGAAGGAAAAAGCGATGGAAAAAGCAATATGAACTGCGTCGTATCCACACATTTTCATAAAAACTCTGTCTGAAAATAGTGTAGCGTGTTAATACATATATCTTGTTTTCAGTCATTTCCAACAATAAAAGTTATAAACAAAAACATACGTTTTTCGTTCCAAGATGGCGGCGTTTGTTTACATTTTGTAGGATACGACGCAGTTTTGATTCCCAGCCCTGAATTAGCGTGTTTCCGCAAACCTCCCCCCATTTAACTTGTTTATTCTCGACTTTTCGTCTGTCGGAGTCGTGGGGCGAAAACATGCTAATAAGCAGGTGAAGGGGGGGGGGGGGCTTATTAGCGTGTTTTCACCCCCGCATTTTAAACTTGTTATTTCTCGACTAACCGCGAGGCGGGATCGCGGGGCGAAAACACGAATGGTACAAATCAGCCACCATACCTCTGTTATTTATTTGGCGTCCTTGGGGTAATCCCAATTTTATCTGGGTATATATAACAAGATTGTGAAATTCGCATACTTTTTATGGGTTAAGAAAAGTAAACACTATGTAAAAGTCATTTATAGAAAGAGAAAGTAGATACTGAAAACTAGATAATTATTGTGTCATTAATTCTATGGATGTCATATTTATCCGTTTAAACAGGTACGGTCGGTTTTAGCATTTAAAAAGGTTAGTAAATTCAACAATCGGTAACCCAGGTTAAGATTTTACACAGAGGCGAAAAAGTTTTACAATGGTTAAGATTTTACACAGAGGCGAAAAAGTTTTACAATGATATTATATATATTACCTAATTCTTTATGATAAGATATGAAAATTATTTGTTTGTTCAGCAATGTATTTTTCTCCGATCTGATCGAGTACGACCTGATCCAGTACGCAACGAAAAATAGTTACACCATATATGGATATGTATTGTAACCATTTTCAAAGCTACATTTAATAAATTTCATGAAAACAGAAATAGCGACATTTCATTAACAAATTGGGTTTCATATCGACTCCAGATCTTACTTTGTTGTACTGACAACCAAAATGAGTTTTATAAGCATAAACAAGGTGCAACCTCATTGTGGCGAAATTGGAAGTACAATTTCAGTTGCATGAGAAACTCCGCCTTCTGATCATCTGTACATGACCTTTCTTGTGTTTACAGTTTTATGTAAATTGGCTAACTTGTTATCCAATCGCTACACTGAGATAATACATAGTCACTGGTTGACCTGGTTTGCACAAAAGAGCACGTGCTTATGTTTGTGATACTGTTTGTGAGCAGTTGACCTAGCAATGAATGGAAAAGGTGTGGCTAAATGTTCCGCTACGAAAAACCGGAAAGGTCCATTAGTAGCAGTCCTAATTTAACGGTAATTTTCCGCATTGTAACGGATGTTTTCATATAAATTTAATCTTTTTTTATGAGATGATTACTTTTTTTCTGAACCCCAGACCTAATGCAAAGTGAAGCTTAAACGGTTAAAGTGTGATTGCACATGAAAATCTCATATTTGTTGTGTTCCGGATAGCAGCTAAACACTGTGACGTAGCGCATACACAAACTAATTATCATCTTCATTTGCATACGAACTTTAGTGTTACCGTAGAGTTTTCCGTTTTAAATCCTAATTTATGAATAATATTTGATGAGATTTACAATATTATTGTTTTTGTAAAATGCTTGGTTTTAAGGCCATCGGCAAAATAATTTTACATATTTATATAATGTATACGTAGCTTTAAAGTACCACAAAATACAAACAAGGTACTAGTACAAATGCTGCTGCAATATACAGCAATTGAGAA